ACATGTACTTGATTAATGTCATTTTATGTAATAATTCGTGTTTTTATAGACGCGTTCTTCCTGTGTCAAAAATATAATTTACGCGTCTTTATCGTTTGTCTCAATACAAGTTAAGTTTGTTGAACATGTATAATACAAAATAATGATAAGTGATTTTTGTATTTCAATAATTTAGAATGCTCTTTTATTGGTATGCTAGAGGTCGATTTTGATGATATTTAAATAAAGTCTAACTGAAAGCTGGGTTTGAATTGAAACTTTTACTGTAGGCTAGATTCGATCCTAACTTATCAGTAAGAGCATGAAGAAAATCGCCGGTGGAATGCATTTACCAGCGATTAACTGCGGTAATCGAAACTGTTAAGCGCCTAGTTCACCGGACGGTTATCGGCGGTTAACTGACGGTTTTGAAGCGGTTTGTGTGGCATGGGATTATTACCCAAATATATTTTGATGCACTCAGTACTTGTGGTATATCAAAAGTAGACGCACTCGATAAAAATTGTCGAGGAATTTTAAAATGGTTTCAGTATTTGATCAAATTCTTCATGGCTACTCTGATAATATGGTCTATTTTATTATTAGGTAAGACTATCGTATTAATATATCTAGTATGAAAATCAGTGACGTTTATTTTTAAAGATGATCTAACTCGTCATCCCCGTAGAATGGTTCGTTCTTTCGAACGAATCTTAGGTAAAACTCCTGAACAACGTACAACAGAAATAAGTGAACGATGAATGCGTATGTTGAAACGTATACAAATAGGTATAATATATGCTATTTCTCGAGTTTAACTCGAAATAGAAAAAACAAGACTAGAAAAGTATTAATATTTACTGTTTATGAGAAAAACAAAGTTTAATCTTGAAAAAATATTAAAGAAATATAGTTTATATTACCGACGATGAAACTCATATACACATTGATATAATGTCATTCTATGGAATGAATATATTATTATTCTAGAGAATAGTTTTAAAATGAACAGAAAAAGTTTTCTTATTACTATCGCTAACAACGTACTGCAATATATAAATAGTTTTTGATCTTATTCTTACAGACTAATAAACAATTAATGTTTACTTGATTTTATTATACCGACAAACAGAACAAAAATTGAACATTTATATACAACAGGATTAAGATTAGTTTACAGTTTGTATGGATGGGATGATTATACAACTCTTGTATTATGTAGAGATTTCTCACCAGTTGATTATCTTTATAGATACTGGCTGAAATTTATGAAAGATCTAGAAGAATCTTCCGAAGCATTAGTATTTCAACAAGTATGGACCGCTTATATAATAGCCTGAATACCATCGATTGATATTTATAAGTCTATGGAATTTCGAAAAATTAGTAAATTTGTAAATAGACTATCTAAAAATGCTCAACATATTAAGATTGATATTCTTAACTTCTTTGAAAAACATAATAAACAATACTTGTTCTTTAAAAATTCATCGTCAGCAATTGAATATTTTGTTCTAAAATACTTTCCGGTCTATCCTCCGTAAGAATATAAAGAAAAATAAATAAATAAAATAAACTACATTTATGAAAGGTCGTAGAAAATGAATAAAATTATATCCTTCTCGTATATTTATCGGTTTTATCATTCGTTACACTTATGTCTAGACATGCTTTCTCTTTTCTTTTTCTTCTTCTATTTCTCCTGTATCTCTTTTTCTTTACATACTTCTTTATTTTTATTTTTCTCTTTGCTGATATTATTTAAGTAAATATAGAATATTCAAAGTAGTTATAACTTGTTAACCTTATAAAGGAACAATAAAATATATTTAAAAAAAAACTAATATACAATGTATCCAGAGTAAAAAATTCCGTTATAATTTCATCGAGTTGAATAAAGTCTAATAAAATTTCGATAAGAACCAAGAATACTTATTACTCAAATTGATTAGATGATTCATGTAAGTATTTTGTTAAGTTTCTATAAAATTACCATCGAATACGACAGGTATTTAAGTACTTTATTTATTTTTAATTATTAAAGGTAATCGAGTACACATTCGTCTTGAATAATTCCTGATATGTTAATAATGATTGATGAATCTACAATGATCCTAATCATGTATTGTTCAACATCTTAACCCTTTCCGGCCGGATGATGCCAAATGGCAACATTGAGATAATGTTGTACTGATAAAATTTTTCAAACCAATGCCGAATACCATTCTAATATTACGATAATTAAGGGTACATATCATATAGTCTACCGACTTCTCATTCGATATGAATATCCATGCCTTTTGGAAAATAGCCCAGTACATACTAATTAGCATGAAAGACAGCATTATCAGAAATTATCGTTTCTCGATGACTTTAGGAAATTGAATATGTTAGCTTGTAATTCTAAAAAAATTCCTATTTTACCCTTAGTACAAATATCCACTAATAAGAGAATTTTGTTGGTATATAACATCAAAAAAACGAAAATGTTGCCTTTTGGCAACTCCCGGCTGAAAGGGGTCAAAAATTTTTAAATTTATTACGAAGCTTCGGCGGCATTTTTTAATGATTGTAACAGATCATCAACTCTAAATAATAGTTTAATAGTATATTGCTATTCGATCAGTCGTAGAAACGTTAACTATTGAGTATGAGAAGCAATAAGGAGACCCTCAGCTACAATCACTAACTGATAATTCTAAAATATTGAACTGAAAAAAAAACACAAAATGATGCGCTGACCTAAATATCTTATTTAATTTACTGTCGCCATCTGGTGAAATACGTTTTTACTGGCGAATAACGCAACCTTTCATTATATTTCTATGAAAAATCGTTGAAACTGTCAATTTCACCTGTCAAAATTAAAACCAAAGTCGTACAAATTCGTTTTTTTATTGGAATTTTGCTTCAAATATATTTAAAGTGACGTGAGTTATTACTAGGATTGAAAAGAATATTGTGGATTTTTATCTGATTATCTTTTAGACATGTCTAAGAAAACAATTCGTAAAAATCATACTGTCATACCGAATGGTATGAGTGAAATTGTTGATACATCTGAATCGGAAGATGAAATAAAGAAAATTCAAGATATTTTGAAGAATCAACTTGTAATGAACAATGAATCATCATCACATGAAACTACTACTACTACTGATAGTGAAGAAGAATTCCAACAAGCAACATCCAAATCTAAATCCAAATCAAAGAAAAAGAAAAGATTTCATTGGACTAAAAAATCGTTTACACCACCTTCATCAACATTTACAGAAAACTTACCACCACCACCAAGCAGCTCTGAACCTGAACCAATTGAATACTTTTATTCAATGTTTGGTAAAAATTCTATCAACATTTTGAAGGATCAATCAAACCTATACTCTGTACAACAAAATCCAAATCGACCTGTCAATATTACCGACATTGAAATTCATCAATTTATTGGAATATTGATCATGACAAGTGTTTATTGTTTTCCACAACAACGATTTTATTGGACATATAATACACGTATTCCATCAATCGCCTCGGCAATAAGCCGAGACCGATTTCTTCAAATCAAAAAAAATTTACATGTTGTGGACAATACAAATCAACTAAATCGAAATGATCCTACTTATGATAGAGCATTCAAAGTTCGACCACTATTAAATATCGTAAAAGAAAACTTTCGACAAATCCCGAAGGAAGAACATTTAAGTATCGATGAACAGATTATACCGTTTAAAGGTAAAAGTGTAATGAAGCAGCATATGCCAAACAAACCTAATCGATGGGGGTACAAGATGTATTTACTTTGTGGTGGTAATAGTGGAATTTGTTACGACTATGAATTATATACAGGCAAATCCAATCAAACACAACACGGTTTTTGTACAGACATTGTATTGAAACTTAGTGAAACTATTCCACGAATGAAGAATCACAAAGTTTATTTTGACAACTATTTTACAACTATTAGATTACAAGTTGAATTATATAAATTAGGAATTTTTTCTGCTGGCACTGCTCGAACCAATCGTTTATCTGATCTGGTAATGAAAGATGCCAAATCATTAGAACAAGAAGGTCGAGGTGCCATGGATCATCGAATTGTTCAAGTGGATGGTGTCGTAGTATGTGCCACCAGATGGTTTGATAATAATATAGTCAACTGTATTTCTACATTATATGGTTGTGAATCACATGATTTTGTTAAAAGATGGTCCGCTTCACAGAAGCAACATATTCAAGTTAAACGTCCAAATGTTATTAAGTTTTACAATCAATATATGGGTGGCGTTGATCTCATGGATATGCTCATTTCATTATACAGAATAAATATTGGTTCCAAGAAATATTATATCAAAATTATTTTCCAATTGATTGATTTATCGATTGCTAATGGCTGGTTATTATACCGTCGTCATTGTGATCAACTTCGATTAGCAAAAAATGAGATTCTATCATTATTACAATTTCGAATGGCAGTTGCTGATGCTTTATTAAAACCAGTAGCACCTGAACCTCCAGTTCAACGAGGGCGACCAACTGCACGTCTTCAATCAAAAAAAAAAAGTCAATCTAAACAACGTCGAGCTCTAACTACTCAACATCCATTATCCAGTACTCGTCGTGATGGATTCCATCACTGGCCAAAGTCAATAACTAAAGGACGTTGTCGTAATATTGGATGC